CTGTCTGTGTGTGTGTGTGTGTGTCTGTCTGTGTGTGTGTGTGTCTGTGCTCCCCTGCCTCATGCTGTATGCTCTCTACAATAGGCTGCAAGCTCATTTGCTTTGCATAAGTTAAAGACTGATGGATCATGTCGCTTGTATGTGGAAGTATTGTCAAAATATCTGTGGTGCTTTTAGCATTTGAACCCATGTGCACTGCAGCTAACCCAGCCTGCCTCTGTACTTCTCCCCCTGGCGGCACTGCAGTTAACCCAGCCTGCCTGTGTACTTCTCTCACTGGCGGCACTGCAGGACGCTGGGAGTGTCCATGGCACCAGTGCAGCGTGTGCCACAGCCCAGCCACCTCGTCCTGCCACTACTGCCCCAGTTCCTTCTGCCAGGAGCATGAGGGGGGGGCTCTTGTGCCCTCCATACCTGACAGCAGACCCTGCTGCTCAAGACACAACCCAGAGATGCCCCCCGCACACGTGTCCCACCTCGACGAGATCAAGGTCAAAGAGGAGCCCCTAGAGCCCGGTGAAGGCGCCCCCTACTGATGTCCTGGAGTAAGAACAAGAGAGGGATAAGCGGAGACATAGTAGATAGGGAGTGGGCCTAAACAGACATCTCCGGTTAAACAGAAATCAGGAGATCCAGCACAAGTCTTTCATTTGCCCAGCCTGATACATAGTAACAGCCTGCCACCTTTATAAAGCAGTCAGCCATGCGGGCCTCACTCAGCATAGTAAAAGCTGAGCCTTCTACAACCATAATATTTAACCCACTTATTGATCTTTATTTTTCTATTATTCAATAGTGTGTCCTCTATAGCAGTGGTAATTTCAAATTGAATTTATTCAGTTTCATGTGAAAAGTGCTTTTTCTGTGATATTGGTTACTAGGCTGCTGTTATATACTCTGTTATATGACCTATTGACAATACCGCTGTCTCCTCCTCTTCCCTTCCTTGTTCCCATAAAGGTTCATTAATCTCTCCAAAAATACTGGATTATGTACCTCATATATAAATATATAAAATATTTGTGCAATTTTAACTGGACTGCATCACATCTCAGAGCATTATACCAAGAGCCCATCGAAATCCTCATCGTAGGATTCTTCAGAGTTGCTTAACAGATGATAATTAAGCAGATGAAACCCATCTTTATTTTGGGTCAAATTTTTTAACATATATTTATTAAATATATTTATCTGTGTATGTTTACAGCAACACTATGTGATAAAAAAAAATCCCATTGAGGTTTGTGCGTGCGTGCGTGTGTGTGTGTGTGTGTGTGTGTGTGTGCGCGCGCGCGCGCGCGTGTGTGCATGTTTGTGTGCGTACGTGCGTGTGTGTGTGCTTGCGCGCGTGCGTGCGTGTGTGTGTGTGCGTGTGTGCATGTGTGCGTGTGGGAGTGTGTGTGTTTGCGTGTGGGAGTGTGTGTGTTTGCATGTGGGAGTGTGCTTGCTTGCGTGCGTGCGTGTGTGTGTTTGTGCGTGCGTGCGTGCATGCGTGGGCACTCGTGCATCCTGTTTTAAATGATCTGTTGGTATTCAGATCCTGTATTCTGATGTTCAGTTTTTTGACATCTTGATATGGTCAAGTAGCCTTTCCAATTCTGAATACTTCCTCCTGTTTGTGTATTACAAAAGTGTATTAATGTGTAATAATCGATCAGTGAATGTGATCTTGGAATGTCAGAAGAGTTTTTTATTTTTAGGAAACTTCAAGAGAATATCTTGGTAAAAATGCATTTGGCTCCCTGTTTTGGGCAAATTGTTTATACTCCAAAATCTAGGTAATGGCAAATCTTGCGCAGAATGTTGCAGAATAAAGATCATTTGTATTCTTCCATATTCATGAATTTTAATGTCACATTAAGTTTATACCAGGAAGTATCCTTATGATAAATTTGGAACCATTTTACAATAAGACTACCCTTATAAAGGGTTTATGAATGGTTTGTAATCAGGTTATTAATTAGGTTGTAACGCTTTGTAAATCATTAATAGACAATTAGAAGCAGTTATAACAGTTTTCTTTTTATTAATGAGTTACTACCAATTATAAGTGCCAAAAGGGATCCTTATTGTAAAGTGGTACCATCAATTTTAATAATTGAAATGTATGTCTCTGTATGTGTTATGAAGCAGGTCTCATCTTTACACTTCAGTATATTTGTTTGTTTAAAAAAGTGGTTTGAATGTGTGCTCTATCCACCAGATCTTAATCCAAATTAATAAATCTTAATACTGCACCTGTCAACAACTGGTGCAGTTCACACCAAATACTGCTGAAACTTTCTGGACTGTTTTTGCTATAATGTTTCTATTTCCAAATTGTTTTAATAGAGGCAGATTTTAGAGCTTTCCCATTTGTATTTGTTTGTTTTTTTTGGTGACTTTTTCTATTTTATACTTTGCCTTTAAGCATTTTTATCAGTCCTGTATTACATGCAGCAATAATATGACATATTATACCATTTCATTATTATGGATATTTTAAAACATTGTAATTGTTCGATCAGTGTAATATATATCATGTAAAAAATGTCGCTCAGTGATGTGATCATTTGCATCCTTTCATCGGTTTATGTGACATTTACTGTGATGAGCACTAGCAAGAACTTTTATTTCATAAAATATAGTGAATCTGACCTAGAATGAGTCTTGATCACATGGGGCTTTAAAATGACATCAGATCCTTTTCCAACTATGTAACCTGTCATAGCCACAGTAGCCAAGATTACTTCACCTGTGTCGTGAAAATACCGTAATGAACTTTAAATGGCAAGTAGCTGTTGTGGTGTGAAGTACTTTTTGAAGATTTATACTCATGTAGTTACTCTGTACTTGCCAAAAATCACATTACATGTCTATACCTCAGTATTTTTATTTTCACCACCTCTTGTTTGACTTTGTCATCAGGTACTGGTGACTGCAGTTAATGTGTGACATTATACTCTTACTCTTGTGCGTGAAAAGGGAGGTTGTCCACAAAAGCCAGTGCTTAGAGAAGGACATAAGGGAACTGAATTAGTCAAAGCTGATTTGATTACATTTTTATCCCAATACTTCCAGTTAGTATCAGTTACTGTTGCGTTCTGCACGTCAAGTCACTTTATTCACTGGAAGAATCAGATGCCTCTTCAGAAATTCCTTGAAGTTTACTTGAAATTTTTATGCCCATTGTCTATAAGTGTTGTTTTTATTTTTGAGTAAGAGTATTGCAGTATTGGTACTGGATACTGTTGTTATGGTTTTACATTAAGAGCTGAAAGCTTTTCCGTAGCTCCAGCAGTGCAAACCCTAGCTTCTGCTCTTTCTGCTGAAATCACCTCCCTCCTCTCAGCCTCCTCAGCCTTCGTTTCCTTGTGTCCGTCTCGTTTACCTCGCTCTTCCATCAAGCTTCCGTGATTCTGCTGCTCACTTGTCTGCTAGGGCTCTGTGTTCTGGAGTTTTTTTTCCTTTGCGTTGCTCATTCCCAAGTAGTTCCAAATACAGCTGAACAGGTTTTAGTGCATTATTGTCTCTAAATTGCCCTGGTCTGCTCTGGCAGTGCTTGCGTGGAGATCCCCAGGAGCGGCTCCAAGCTCAGCACAACCCTGTAACAGATATAACGTTATGGCTGGATGGACAAAGGCGGGATGGTTTACACATACCTCAGGATTAACCCTTTCAGTTCTTGACAGGCATTTTCCACCATATTAATCCTGAAATAGTTCACTTATACTGTACAGGACCATCGTTTTCATATGACATGTATTAATGATTGACAGGACAGTTATCCTCAAACCACAAAATATATTTTCTTTGAATATGTATGTATTATGATTATATACAGTGCGTATTGACCTCACCTTGGAATTTAACTTTAGATTTTTAAAAATATGATGCATCTGCTTTAAAAGGGAATTATGTCCTGGGTCATTATGAGCATGTCAGTTTCATTGTTGTATAAATTTCCATGATTGTTGACTCTTATCACCAAACTATACACTCAGATGTAATAAAACAATCCAAAATTATATTGTCTTAGGCTGAATAAATATCACCTTCAAGACACATTGTAGTGTGGACCTTCCCTGGACTTTCTGCTAGGGTTATATGTGTATTGATGTTGAAACAGAGTGACTACAGATATTTGTTTTCTTGTTCAGCTTATGTTACTGCTGATGTAAAAGAGTTATGCTTGTAGACTTGTACATAAGAAATAGAAGATAAATCAGTCATTTTGATGTAGTGTCTTTAGAATGCCTGTAATATTTAGCTTATTAACGTGTTTAGGGACGTATATTTTTTGTACGTATATTAACTGTCTTTTTTTAATTTCAGATTATGACCTCAAAATGTTTTCCTCTGTCAGAGTATATTCTGAAGGGTTTTTACGTAACATTCCACAGATCTGATCATTTTCAGAATTTGCTTGAGGTTTGACTTCAATAAAACAATGCATTATGTTTAAAAAAAACAGAGTTCGATATTTTTATTAACTAATATTGGATATTGCAAGGTGCCCATGTAACCCATGCAAATGTATACATTTTAATGCCAAAAAGTCTCTCCATAATACATATATTAAGTACAAGCTAGTTAAGATAGTTTCCCAACAATTCCTCAGTTTCAGTAAATGTAAAAAATAGATTTGCACTGCTTAAAATATTTAATATCTAAGGCCAGAACTGTGCAGGGAGTAAATACCTTTGAAGCTCACGCACAAGTTCACTTCGGTGTGTCACTTTCCCATCACACAACAGGAACTGTGACCATTTTTCTAAAGAAGCACAGGACACAAAAAAGTTAGGTTAAAATTCACATGCAATTTTACATGAAACTCCAGAACAATGGCAAATGAGCAAGTCATTTCTTTAGTTATATGTTTTTGGTGGGATTGAATTGTGGTCAAAACTGCAGGATAAGTCGCATCCTGAATAGGTTTAAAATGAAACAACATTTTACCTATAATTTACTTATATGGCTCGTGACATGTTTACACCGATCAGCTGTAACAGCTATGACAGGTGAAGTGAATAACATTGATTATCTCATTACAATGGCACCTGTCAAGGATGCCATTATATATCAGGTCAGTCAGCTCATGAAGTTGAAGTGCTGGATACAGGAAAAATGGGCAAGAGTAAGGATCTGAGCAGCCATGACAAGGACCAAATTGTGACGGATGGACGACTGGGTCGGAGCATCTCTAAGGTGGCAAAGTGGTCTTCCAGGTATGCAGTGGTCAGTACTGACCAAAAGTGGTGCAAGGAAGGCACCAGGGTCGTGGGCAGCCAAGGCTCACCGATGCGCACGGGGAGGGAAGGCTAACCTGTCCGGTTATGATAGAAAGCTGTAAGAAGACCGAGCACATCGCAGCTTACTGCATATGGGGCTGCGCAGCTGCAGACTGTCAGACTGCCCATGCTGACTGCAGACCACTACTGAAAGTGCACAATGGGCACGTGAGGGAGAACTGGATCATTGAACAATGGAAGAAGGTGGTCTGCTCTGATGAGTCACGTTTTCTGTCATCATGTGGATCACCGGGTGCATGTACATTGTTTAACTGGGGAATAGATGGCACCAGAATGTACTATTGGAAGAAGGAAAGATCTGCCTCTGCCAGTCTGATGTACTGGGTAATGTTCTGCTGGGAAACCTTCAGCAGAGGTCACTGCTGGCCATTCCGTTCCCTTCTGTTTATCTGTTGTAATCACCTGCCTCTCGTTTGCTCTTCATTAGTCCTAGTATTGTAGTATCTGTCCTGTCCTGTGCTCCACATTCCAGTCATTGACAGTAGTGGACCTGTTGCCTGTGCCCCCTCCCTGTGCTAGTTTTCCTGTCTTGACCCCTCGTGGTCCTGTTTTGTTTCCCTGTGTCAGTCCATTTAGTTCAATAAAGTCCCTTGTAGTTTGCTTACACCTGCCCCCTTTTTCATGACAGTACCTCATATTTCATAGAACATGTTCACATATAACAATTCTTATAGAAACCTGTTCAAAATTAGCAATGAAAAACTGCATCCCTAGTATTTCATGGCAAAATGTATCTAAAGTTTCAAGTGAAAAATAGAAAAGTGAGGAGCATAACACTGAAGAGTAATTACTAGTAAGGAATCTTAATAACAATAATGCTGTTTTCTTTTACTCATTAAACCATTGTTATGAACAAAGCCCCTTATATGTGGGCTTTTCTGTTGTTTAGTATATAAGCTTCTGTATTTTTGCAGATTTTACATTGTTACTCCCTTCCTTACATTTTCTTTAAGGTGCCTCATTACAGCTTGTATTTCAGTGCTACTCC